TCTGAAGTCACCCACACCGTAGACTTCCTCGGAATGCATCGTCTCCTTGGGTCACTCATCGGTGCCAGGGAATTTTGTCGCCTTTGGGATGGACCCGCATGTCCTCTGAGCTATTTTGTGCGCATCATTCGAGTATGGAATACAGAACAGGTCATCTCGGGCTATGTTTTCGTGCCTTCGAGACTTGGTCCTCCGAAAGTTGTTCATGGAGCGATGCTCGCGAGTGTAACTCACCGATTGTGTACGGTGATCTCGAGGGTTTAGTGTTGTTTGCTCATGTAACTAGAATGATTCTGGATCCGAGAAGTCTCCATGTCAGGTATACCGTAAGCTTTTTGTAGTGAATGTTGCGGAATTCCAACGGTGAAAAATTCTTGAAGATATGAGGGTTATCGAGGAGTCGTTGCAACTTCAGCGAGGGAATTGGGTCAATTTGAGTTTTATGCGGAGAATTAGATTCTTTTCAGAAAACCGTTTCAGCGGCCTCTAGTTCATTTCGGTCGCCACACTCGATTTCCATGATGATGTCGCCGGTCTCGTCCCAGTTGTCACTCGAACTTGAGATCGCTTACAAGATGGAGGCAGAGGAGCCGACCCGATTCTCAATTACAGAAACTCTTCCATATTTTTCAGAGAAGACCCCTCGTAACTCCACTTCAGACTTTGACACACCCAGCGAGTCGTCAGGGTCCACATCTTTTAGCAACCTCAATGACTCCAATCGCATCACCCTTGCAAGCCTCATCGGGCTCCCCATGGACTCTTTCCGACATTTGGGGGAGTCTTTTCGTTTCAATTCGCGCGGCGATAGACACTTCGACCGTGGAAGCAATCGCCCCATTGAAGGCCCCGACGCACACCACTCGAGGTCATGTTCTGTATTTTTCGAAATCTTCCACTTCTTGCAAAGAATAAGAACCGGTTTCGTCAAATATTCAACTCAGATAGGCAGAAATTTGAACCTGACCTCATTCACCATCACAGCGGTGTCGGAGGAAGAGGACAAAACTCCGACTGCGTCACACGGGGTGCTGTCTTCGAAAACCCCGTGTCCGTTGAACAACGCAATTTGGGAAGCCACATCTACGAATCCAATCCTCTGTGCAACCCAGATATAATTTCTGCAGGCGATCACGCAGAGATTGAAGTCATGAGTCTATTTCGAGACAGCACCACCGTAGGTTAAGATCCAGACCCCAATAATTTCGAAGATTTAGACGACGAGAAGAGCTTGACATCTTCCATGAGGTTCATATAGGAAGCCAGAGAAAAACCTTAACCCGCACACCGACTATTACCCTTTGCCGCCGATTCGAACTGTTCTACATTCAATTTGTTGCATGAGTGACTAAACACTGCTCTCAAGGGTTTAACCAATCTGAACCATATTGCATGAAGTATCAGGACCTAACCTGCTAGTGCAGGGTACCATCTAATTTGCAACCATCTCGTTAGCATGGGGATAGAACCCACTTCCCTTTAGCCATGGTTGTCCATAGGAATTGCAGAGGAAGGGCAATATCTGCCTCGACGTTCCATTGAGACAACCTCCGAAACGCAGTGCACTTTTTCAAACGGCGGCAAGGGACGATGAGCTTGAAGCTTATTTTGTGTCGACAATTTGCTGCTTCAATCCTCATCATGCCTTCACTGTTCAAAAATTCGTTAACTATAAGCTTATTCGGTTCTCCAGCTGTGTTAATCACAAGTCGGTTTGTTTCAGTCACCGCCCAATGTCAATCCTCGCAAAATCATTCTGCTGCTACAAGCAGAACGGTAGACATGCAGCTGTACAATACTCTCGATGCTTCACATTTTGCATCAGGTGGGAACACAGCCCTCGGGGCTGAGTTAGTAGTCTTCGGTGTCACATGCTTCGGTTCCATGACAACGCCCACTGTTCGGTTGATCAAAATGCAAGCCACGTAGAAGTAGGATGTTCTGAAAAATCGTAATTCCCATGAGATGTGAGTGATCTTTCATAAATGTGGGTTGTTTGCATGTCTGGTGATGCGAAGCAACAAACCGACTTGTGATTAACACAGCTGGAGAATTTGGTTACAACTATACCAGATTTTACGGAATTAAACCACGAGATCGATGACCGGAAAAGTAGTTTGCACTGCCATGAGACGAGTTCCATTTAATTAGGACCCGTTGGAATAGCCTTTTTATGTACACACCTGGAATCAAATCTGAATACTCTTCACGAACTTGATCAACCGTTCATGCTCTCGTGTCAAATGGTTCACACTTGAAACATTGACGGTGCTGTGATAAATCGTCTGCTTTAACATTAATAGCACTAAAATCGAATTGGCAGATGTTGCAGTCGGTTCGAACAGTAGTCTTCAAATATCTCACAATTTTTATGTTTTTTTGTAGTCACAATCTGATTGTTTGTACCATGACGACCAAGATCAGGAGGTAGGAGACACGGAGAACAAAGATAAATTCAACCTGGACATAGGGCTGCATTAAGCATTGAAACTACATATCGCAGACAGGCAGGCAAGCCCAGCAAACATTACATCCCCGTATCATTGATGTCTTTGTTTCGGTTGCGTCAGTTTCAGGTGAATCAGATGTGTCGGTTGGACATATACGTACACAGACAGGTAAGACTACGACGAAAACATAAGATGAAGAAAGGAGAAACAAGAAGCATGGCCATCTACAAAGAGAAAGTAATTGTAGCTTCATGCTTTTCAATGGAGGCTAGAAAGAAATTTCAGAAACGCTTCGCCGGCCTTGCAAGGAACAACTATCTTAAGGAAAAATTATTCACTAGATTGGTTACATGCAGTGGTGGAGACGCTAGGCTACATATACAGTCGGTGATGTAGACCAATACCTGAAGAGCCCGACAAAGGGGTGACGGAGAATTATAGCTGATCTTCAACCATATGTCTCAAACATTTATCCCACAAATGAGTCCCGACCCATATCCGATGTGCGCACAGAAAGAATGTGGGTACCCCGTCAGTGGATGCAGGTACCTCGGATGCATAAATCAACAGTGCAGAAACAATCATCTGCACCAAGGAGTCGAATTGAATCACAAACCTGCGAGCGAGTTCGAGTTTTTTGAGAAATTCGAAACTCAGGAAGTACCAGTTGAGTTGTGTACAAACGATAGGAAATGTGCATTTGGAGAAGATATATGCCCCCTCTTCAAATGCATTTGCATCCGTGGAAGCTCGGGACAATCATAGCTGCAGCGTTAGAAGTCGTTAGAGTTTTTGAAAATGATCTAAAAATTCATTGTGAAATGTTGATTGCAGTGGAGGTCATCTAGAACAGTGTTGCCTGTGGCTCACGGATACGAAATTCCATACAAGCCCAGCAAACATTACATCCCCGCCGATGAAATGAAAGAAACTTCATTGAAATGCAATGCCATTCCGACTAAAAAGGAGGTTGGTGACCACCATTACCCGCGATTAGTGCCGATGAAAACCTGATTGAACGAACCAGTTTCAATTTGAAATGTCCTGGCTGTGTCTCGCAGGCATGGCGCGCGCAGCGAAGGTGTTTTCCTGAATCAACAGGCTCAATGTGTGAAGACACAACATACCGTCGCAGATTCTTGGTTCCACCGCCGGTAGAGCACCCAGATCCCTGGAGACCTTGCACACGGGCGTGCGAATACGCATCCCCCAAGAACTCAGAGAAAGGCTGGAAACCTGCCCGCCACCAATCAGGGAAAATTGGCAGAGAAACAACGCAACAAGACTTCCACCCTCAGCGCCGCCACATACCGAAAGGAGGAAGCACAGCCACAATGCGATTTCCTAAGAAGGGCCCCGGCATTTTCAACAAAAACGACGGCGAGTGGCAGCCACCATTTCGAGACCCCAACCCGGAACTGGAATTACAGCAAGCGCTGGAATGCGCTTCCCGTCCAGTTCGCAAGACAGGAAAGAAATCTGCGCCGCCGCTGTGTCACCAAGGCGAATGGCAACCGAATTTTCGATCCAGCATCTCGCAGTCCGTGCCATCGATTCCGCACAGGGTTCCATCCCAGCAGAGGCTAAGGCACATCGATCGCCAGCCCGATGAATGGTGCCCGCCGTGGAAAGATTCAAGCGAGGACGCAGCAGCAGAGTTCGAAAACGATCCTTGTCCTGAAAGGTCAGCTCAATGCAACTCTTCCTGTCTGCAAACTCTTCGTTCTGAGTCCACAGCAGATTGGTCTGATCACAGAGAAACGGTGATGAGCAGCAATGCGAAGCAGTGGCAATCTGCAGCGACCGCGAAGACAGACGAGGGAGAACAGAATACAGCTGACGAACCGTATGGAACAATGATGTGCAACCCCGAGGACGAGGTCCAGGACGAGGATGGCGATGACTTGGGTCCAAGTGGAAAAGATGAAGGTAGAAGAGGATTAGAAGCGGAGGACGGTGACGAGGTTGCGCAATAGCGTGAGGCTACAGCCATTTCACAATACAGGGTTGTACATTATGTGACAAATGCATACAAGTGGTGTTGTAAGAACGTAGGATTCATACTGAAAAGATTTAGTCGCATGCTAGGGAGGAAAAGATTCTTTAGTCGTAGAGTACACATTGAGAAAGAAGCCTATTTTTTTCTACTCCCTTTCGGATGAGTACATTTTGGTGTTTCAATCAGAGCAATGGAGCATTTTATAGTGTATCACCGTAATGTTCAGTTTTTATGATAAAGCAAAGTTAAAACATTTATCGTTTCACCCATCTGAGTGAGATTGTACGCACTTGTTTCCATGAATATCATAAAGATGTGTACATAATTTATTTACATGGAGATAATGACTATCGTCGAGCAATGAGAAAAAAGTTTGGAAAGCTTAAGTGAAAAAAAAGAGGTGTATTTGCGGATCTTTATTCAACGTTTGTGGAAATGGCAGTTAATGCCAAGAAATTGTTGTAATCAAATTGAAAAAGCTTGGTGAATTTTACGTCAGAAAAAGTGAAGTAATAAATCAGGGACGTACGCATGATTACAATAGAAGCATGGTAGTTCCACGAAGTGGACAATCAAAGAATGGATTAGTATATTTATAAAAAAAAATCGTGGTTCAATGCTCGTCAAGTGTTTTGTCAAGTGACAGTTGGTGCGAGTCTAGAGGTACCTGAATGAAAACACAGGCGAATTCTAGCTCTGCACACCACCAATGACGAGAAAACAAGGTGATTTCTCTTTGCTCATGGATGCTGATCCTACAGAGACGTAGGTCATTTCCCCGATCTTCTAAATGAAAGAAATAAAAAAATAAAAAAAATAAAAAAAAGGCCAATAGTCGAAGTACTTCAGGGGCATCTGACCCTAAGCTGTCCACAGTATTGGTCTGATGTCCTAGTGCCTCCAACTAGCTGTAATTATACATCTTATACATACATGACACTTGAGAGTTAGCGAGCTGGCTTCGTCAATGAGCACGAGCTCTCTCTTCCGCACATCGCCATGCAGCCTGCACGGAGTAGAGATTACCAAGTTTGACTGTCAGACGGTTCATTATTGAATCTAAACCTTAAGCGTGACAAATCGCGTAGGTAACGTGGGTACCGACAATAACCTACCTCACAAAAGACAATGTACCTGTTTTACGAGTTAGATTACCTGTTCTTGCTCTAGCTTCGAAACGTGGCGTTTGAGTGCAGCTCCAAGGCCAACTCCAGCCCAGACGTCGGCACTTTCCTCTCTTGCCTTGAATGACGGTCTCCGTCTCGCCCATGGATCACTGCCTCCAGCAGCTGCAAAAGCCTGCTTCTCTGACTCCAACTTGGATAATTTTCGTGCACCCTGATCGCCAAGATTAGCCTGTGCCACATTCAGTACATCTTGAGAATTCTCGCTTCTCACGGAACCGGTACATTCGGATTGCGAGTTCACAATCTGCACTGCACTGGGGACAGCCTGTGATGCAAGCTTAGCAGCTTCTTTCTCTCGCTCCAACCTTGATTTGTGTTTAATTAGCACTTCACCAAGACCGACGGCCTGGTTGCTGGTTTTCTTAGGCGAGGTTGATTGAGTGGCGCCGGTTTTCTTAATTGTCTTGCCAAGCATACTAAGCCTCCTTGCTTTGGCGGCTTCGATCTCCTTCTCCAGGCGGGACTTGTGCTTGATCAAGGACTCTCCCAGACCTGGTCTTCGTGTCAATGAAATCCTTCTTCCTTTCCGTGGCGAGAATTTGTTGAGACTGCTCCTTCGTCTCTCTTGAGCAGCTGCTTTCTCTCTCTCGAGGCGCGACATTTTCTTCACAAATATCTTGTCCAGCCCTCCCTCCTCAACTTGGACCCCAGGACCATAGAACTTCACCGCCTCTCCCGGAATCCATGATTCTGCCTGTTTTGCTGCGGCTTCAATTGCTGCTTTTTTCTCCCGTTCAAAACGAGACACGTGTTTCACGAGCATCGACCCGAAGTCCGGAGCCGGGTTCACCACCACAGACAAACGCTTCTTCATCTCGTTTCTACCACCGTCGCCAGCGGTTTTGGCAGCCGTTTTCTCTGCCTCAAGGCGTGATACATGCTTCACCAAGACGTCTCCCAAACTTCCACCACTTGAACCCTTGGTGCCCAACTCTTGCTCTAAATGTTCCTCAGCAAGCAAAGCACCGAGACCCCGAGTGGCCACTATAGTTGCCATTGAGGTGCACTCCTCGGGTTGCAAGCCTCTTACTCTTTGAAGCATGGATTCTACCAACGGGTTTTCCTGAATAGTACAATCATTAGTCGCAGGACACGCCAGTGAAATGTCCATGGAGTTTTCAGCGTCCTCTAATGTCTCACGCGAATCTGCACAAATATAAGAGGAAGACGTCCCCAACATTAGATTCCAAAGAATTTGCCTCGGCTTCGGCAGGAAATCGAAGCACGAAACAAGTCATAGTGATGTACGCGTTCTGCCAGGCTCAATTACCGACCATAAAATCTAAATACTTCTGGGAAATTTGTTCTAGATGCGGCACACGAATCAGGCAGACTGGAGAAATTACTTACTTGGTTCCGGTCCATCATCCACCCATTCTCGGTGAACGGTTGTCTCTACAGCGAGTGGGTTTGTGATTAATGCCATTGCTTTCTGAAGATCAGCATCCTTCAATTCACTTGTATGACGCAGAAGCGCGGTTTTTAAAGCCGAAGCTACCGCCTTGTCCACGTCGAATGCGGTTTCCAACGTCGCTGAGACATTGTCGAGAGATCCCGAGCTAGGGTCGGTTACAGCCACGAATCTGGGACTACGAGGACTGTGACCAAGTATCACCCCAAGAGCAGCGGCAGCTGCCAGGGCGTCCTCTGCTTTTTTCTCTGCTGTTTGAAGCTGGACAGCAGCCGACATGTAGGGTATTCTGCAATCGCATTGAGAGAGAGAGTCAAGCATATGCACTGAGATTAAAAATGGCATATTTACTGAGCATGTATACAGAGGAGTTCGATGAAAAATGGCATATTTGGTAGTGAATGTTCATGCAGAAGGTTCATTGTTAAATAGCGAAGCAATTACCCAGTTGCTTTGAGTATGCGACACCAAGAAGCCTCGACAAGTGCCGCTTTGCGCGCTTCAGTAGCTGCAACAGCTGCTGCTTGAGCAGCTTGCTTCTCCCTCTCTATGCGTGAAAGATGAATATTTGAAGCTCCTAGAGTTTCATCCAAAGAAGCAATCTTGCCTCCTTCTTTCTGCCGGTGATACAGAATACAAGAGACGCTATGAGAGCAAGAAATAGAAGTGATCACGAAAAGCAAATGTGAGTGAACATGCCTTGGAATACAGAGCAACGTATGATTCCGGAGGGTGTACACATGTAAGTTTGTAACGGAAAATCAAGCGGTATAGAAGAGAGAAAGTTACTTTGAATCATGCAGTACCCGACAGCGTTACATAACTAAAGCAGACAAATATACACGATGGATGTTAACAAACCTGAAGCATGCGTATTTTCCTTTCAAGGTAGGACTCTGTTTTCTGTCCTCTAGGAAACCAGCCCAACGGAGTGACACGGCGGTGGGAGGTACGATGTGATCGTGGGCTCGGGTTTACTCCAGATGCACCTTCTCCGTTTTCTCTTAGTACACGTCCTGCCTGGGAAGAATAGTCTTTGATCTTGGTCACAGTAGATATAACTCGGCTGGCATGTCCAGGATCAATAGCCTCAGTAGGTTGTCTTCTGGCACCCATTATTTCAGGGGCAACAAGTTTGCGTTCGGCGTCAACGTGCTGGTTCACCACTGGCACTCTGAGAGCATTAGGAGTCCTGCTTATTATCGGCTGCTCGGTGTCGTACTCTTGCACTGAATCGGGTGGTGCGTTACGAATGGGATCTAAAGACATCAAAGCACGTAGCTCAGTTTCGATGCAGAATTAGCATCATGGGGATTTTCTGGCGTCAGAATTGTAGCCAAGAAGAGAGCGCTAGAAAGTTTGAAGTGTACAATCTCCTGCTGAAGAAACGCAGTGTACATCGATGGAAGGACATCGTAAGGGTAGAATTATAGTTCCCATGCAACAATTCAACTAGTGGAGGCAAGAAAAGGGACTCACCATGAGTTGCATCAGAAAATTGGACTTGGAACAAAGGAGAGCTTTCTCCTTTATCGCTTGCATTCGTTTGCTCAGAGGTTTTATCTTCTCTGGCAGAAATGAACGCGAATTCTCGGGTCAGTGTATAGATCATTTACAAACTTTCATTGGACTACAGGCCGACTTACAGGTATGATTTCAACTGCAGTGTAATAGAACAGGCAGTTTGACGATGGTTAATGATTAACGCTAAGATGATATGCAAAAGAACTAAGTTCATCACATAGTCTGTGAACTGTAGTTTTGTCTGAGTTTCATTGCACTGCCAAAATCTGGGTACAACCTAACCCGTGCAAGATGATAAGTCTTCCAGCAGGAGTGCGAAGAGTGATCAAGAAGAAAGCAGTTCGACGGGCAACTCTGACGTGGAGGGACATGTTAGTGGGTGCCCACCTCGAGTTGGAGATCGGGGAGAACTCAGACGAATTCCACTCAAAACCCTTGGACACCGGTCCGACCTCGGCACTCTGATCGGATGCGCCCACCTCCATAGCAACCCCGTCTTGCTCACTCGACCTAATGATAAGGACCAAGTGTCAACGAAACATACTGTACGAAGAATGACCCCAGGAGGAACTAAAAGGCATGCACAATTAAAGTTGAACGTTCTAATCAGGATCAGAGCTTTGGCATATCACGATGAAAACTGCTACAGATGCTGAAAAACGCAAGTCCTTGAGAGTTGATTGCAATCGGGACGGAATCTAGAATAGAATTAGGTTACCACTCAGTGAGTCCTCACGAGGTCAGAACCAGCTACACTAGGCGACTAGTCTGTAAAGGAAACCATGGCCGTACTAAGTTCTGTAAGATGTATATGCTATAAGCTAGCATTAGACACCGAGAGTCATTGATTCCACATACTTCATGACGCCATTGGATTCGATTCGCTCAATTTCACTGCCTGTGTCCAAATTGTGAGCACTCCTTTGACAGTTCGCCACAGGCACATCCGCGAGGTGTTCCTCGCACTCGGGAATCTCCAAGGTCATTTCCGTCCAAGCACCACAATCCCCTAATCTCATGCAAAACACTACTCCCCTGTGCCCAACCTCCCACCTCAAACCATAAGCGGAACTGCGCTATTCACTCAATCAAACTCTTCCAAAATCGAAATTCACTCATTCGCGACTGCGAGGGCGCAACCCAATATTGTACACCCTCCCAGAAGCCTCGACGCTGATCACGCAATTCTCTCCCGCCACAGATCTCTAACCCAATCACTTCGTGTCCATCAAACACGCAACGCTCATAACGATCCGCTTTCATATGCTACAAGCTCAGTAAGTGAGAAATGAATGCATTCAAGCGCGAAAGGGGAACATAGTTACAACCAGCGAAAGGGTTGAATGCTCGGGCAAGTGATGAATGCAGCTCCCTCGTAACAAATGCCAACATCCGACGCAAACATCGTGTCTTACGCCCCTCCTGCAGGCCGGTTGTTCCTTTCCCAACGGTCGAATTTCAAACTGCCCTGAACCTTTCCCACTTTCCAATGCCCTCCAACGTTCACCTGCGTGTTCCCGCTCGCGCGCGTTCCCTCCAATTCTAACGGCTCGTTCCCTTCTGACCCTGTCGGGTCCTCGAGTGCGCCTCAGATAATGACGTTGCAAATTCCAGAGACTGGGGTTTCCCTAGACCGGTAACCGCGCGTGCCTTTTCCCTCCAAACTCGACTTTATCGAGCCTTTTACTTTTACGACCTTTTTCAACTGCCCCATAACATGTCGTCGTGGATGAATGTGGATGAATATGGATGAATTATGCTGATAGAGGATGAATAATTCCCCATAATTGCCTTGGAATCCGCCTGGCGATGGGGGGAGACACTGTTCTGGGATGGAATGGGTTTGTCCTAAGCGTCTAGTTCTGCGATGGAAATGATCTGCCCCCTTCGTTTAGAAAGCTCTTGGGAGTGTAGGTTCGGAGGTGCCAGACCTATCCACGGACCTATTTCTATGTACAGTCAAGGACAAGCTTTAATATTATTAGTAGAATTAGTGTATAAGAAAAAGCTGTAACCACAGTGGCCTTGCACAGTAGCAAGCAATGGCTTCTGCTGCAGCACCAGAACCTTGCTTATTATTATACTAGAGTGTCTCTTTATTAGGAAAGCCTGCTGACCATCACAACATTCGCTGAGGAAGAATTCTAAAATTACACAAATCCATTTAAAGGTACTTTTAAAAAGTGATGGGCCCACCTTTCAATTGGAAAAATAGTAACTTTTTTTTCGTAGGTGGAGTAGAAATAAAGATGCTGAAATAGACAAGTGCTTCTGAATGTTTTTCTTTTTTAATAAAACAAAAAATTGTTGATTAAAAGTTCAACAGATTGTTTGCGAAGGTTGGCATCAGCAAAACTTCTTGATGCATAACTTTTATTGATATTTACTGCACATTCGTCTATATACACTTTGTTAGGTTTGTTAATTTTTAAAAAAAACAGAATGACTTAAAGCGTACCAAAAGTATTGTGACACTTTGATGAGTAGGTCAATTGCCAACTGCAATGGAGGCTGTTATGTCACGTGCATGATAAAGAGTTCCAAAATATAGGTTCACCAAGTCCAGGTTCTTTACGTAGACATTAACTCCTAAAAATGGTATTAAATGGTTATCTTATTTTATTTATTAATAGTATTATTTATGTTGTATACCATGCATTGCTTAATTTGATCTTTGTGGATGAGAAGCACAACTGTGTTTCTCTATGTGTTATTTGCTAGTGCCTTGTGTCACATCTGAAAGTAGCACCCTTCTTTTTTTTAGCAGACTTATTTTGTGCTCCATAATACATATAGCTGATTATATTTATATATATATATATAAACAGATATTGTTAATCTTGGATTGTATTCAGACAATATCAAACATAGTCTGTTTGAATGAGTAATATATTTCCAGGTTTTATGAGACCTTTAAAGTATTAGTTAGGTGCATTTCCTTGACCAAATTTTTAAACTACTTTCCAAAGTCTTAACATATAAGTCCTAATAGGCTAACAGTAGCATTGATTTCAGTAGCAACACTGTTATGCTTGCAAAAGACAATCTTATAGTGTAAATTTTTACATGAACAGGGAGTTCATATTTGTTCCAATTATGTATGGTTTGATCTACTTTACATTTTGGGAAAGCAAGGGCACTTATTATATTTATAATAAGTATCCACTATCTAATAGTAAAAGATACATCGAAGATGGCTACATACACAAAGAAAGTTTGGAAAAAATTGGACAATGCAAGCATGGTAAACACCAAGGAAAAGAGAGTTGTCAAAGATACTCAATTTTGCTTATTAATGAATCTCACTAAAGAACATGCCATGGTTGGTACCTTTAATCTTCTTCAACTAAGAAGTTGCCTACATCTCATAAGATGTATTCTAGGTGAAATACTTCTCACAAAGCTACTCCAATTTATTGATTTGCATAAGACCTTGCATTATTCAGATAGATCTAGAAATAGCCCAACAAGATATTGATAAGTTTAGTTGACATACTATAAGTGCTTATTTTATTGGTAGAAAATCTAACAATCTTAGTCTCAAAGTTTGAAAACAAGGCTTAGAACAAGATATCAACAAAGATTTCGCCTCTAATTAGAATCTAAATGGAGGATATTTATACTTGAAAATAATGTTGAAAGAGATTTTTAGGCAAATTTTGATCTTATCCCTATATTGGTCTAAGCTTATGTTGTGCACATTTCAATCTTAGAATCCAATTTTTAATACAAGAGCAATGTCAAAACCAAAAGATATGAATTATTCTAATTCTTTAAAGATCTCAATGTAGATCATTAAAAAAGAAATGGCTAAGCCAAAGCACTTGAGTTGTATAAAGTAAGTGTTGATTTTTTTCTAATCTTCAAACATATCATTGGTAATAATTATATTTCTATGATTAATTCTATGGATTGGCTCTATGAAGACTAATCAAAAGATTAAATTGATAGTTAAAAATAGTTTATAAAAAAGTAATAATTCTATAACTTGGTCCAAAGTAACATGGATTATTTGTAACAAAAAAACTAATCCAAGCTTTATTAATCTAAAAGATGCCACCAAAGCTCTCTTGTCCAAATAGATATTAGATTCAATAGTTTTTCAAATAGCAATTGATGAATGCTAAACCAATGGCTTAAAGAAATTGGATATCGATCTACCTACACATATTTCACTAACTCCAAATTGTAAATCGAATGTTGAGTCTAAAACGTGGAATAAAATTAGAAAAATATGTGTAAGTTTCTTTGGCTCAATCTTCTTACCTCTTTTTATAACATGACAAATTGTCATCAAGTTTATTATATTTGGAATTGGCCTACTTCTCTTTTATAAAATTTAATATTTAATTCTTGCAATTGGTGTCCATCAAAATCTTTTAGTTAAAAACAAGCCATTATTGCAAAACTCCTCTCTTTAGATTCAAATTCTTTTGTGATATCTTGTCTTTATTAAAAAAGACTTTGTTTATAGACTATTTGGATTTACAACAAAAGTCTTTGAAATGAAATATGAAGTATATTCTATAACAAAAGCATATTTTGGTAGGATCTTATCAAATATAGTTAAATTTGTTGAAAATTTGTCAAAAAGAACCAAGCAAAAGACAAGCAACAAAAGTCATTCTTAATTAAGAACTAGGGCAATTTATGGATAAAAAAAACACATACTTGGTTTTAAATGTGTTAAAGTAATTAAATATAATTTTAAAATATCTCAATATATCTTAATGTATAATATCTCAATATATCTTAATGTATAATATCTCAATGTGGTGTGATTATACATGAAATTATAAATGAGTTTTCCATAATATTTGCTCCACACTCTTAATATTCTTAGCTTTGCCTTGAGGTATGAGGGATTAAGTAGTCTGTAGTACTTTTTTACTCCATTTATATATATATATATATTATTAGAAGCATAGATGTCAATAATATTCAAGATGCATTAATAAGTCAATCTTAAATTTATCTTTCTAACAAAAATTTATTGATCTACTTAAAAAAAGACCAAATAAAATACCTAACTTATTTAACTAATTGATTAATTTAAATTTAAAATTTATTACAATTCTAATATCCATTGGATTTTTTCTAAATAATGAACATTCTTAGTGTTGAAAAAAAAATCTAATATGTAATTAGGGTTTTGGATTGATTCTTCTTTCTATAGTCCTATTAATAAAGCATTGTTACAAATAATATGATAATTTGTTGTAGTCTTTGAATTAAAGATTAGATTGTCTTTATATTGAGCTTCGATTTTATTAAAATAAGAATATATATATATATATAGTCTATAATTAGAAATAAATAAGATCCAAACAAACACTTTTGTTGCACATCTTTTTAATATTGATAGAAAGTTGTTAATCTCCACAATAATCGTGGAAAAAAAAATTAAGAAGCTAATTGCATGAATAAACTAATATATAAATTTTATTGCAAGTATAAATTTAAATTTAAGAAACACATTCTATTATGTTGTGAGTTGATTTTTAATAAATTTATATGAAATAAATAGTAAATCTTCATCAGATTAATCAATTTGTTTTGATTTTTTTATATTGATAGTAAATTCTTTTGAATAAATATTAGTAATAAGAAACCAATTACATTTTAAATTATAATATTAATAAAAATTAATAAATTAAAATTTTATTTGGAATTTTTTTACTTATATTTAATATCCAATATTTATTGATACAATTTTATATAAATTTATAAGTATCTTTAATAGATTTGTTTTGATAAAGAAGCATTGATATACCATTGTTTATACCTTGTGGAAATTTAACTTGCCACAAATTCTCAAATACTATGTCACAACAATTCATTTTAATGGATTTTCAAAAAGAAAAAAGTTTATTATTAAAATAAGATTAGCAATTCCTAAAGCTTTTCAAACTTGTATCTTATTCATAGCAAATTTGATTTGAGAAACTAAGATAAGCTTCAGCAATCTTTATCTTAGGTTTGAAAATAATCTTTTTATAATGTATCTTAGCACTTTCCATCTTTCTTTGTAGTTGATACGTAGGCAATATCAAGTTGTTTATAAAATTTGTAATAATTGTACAAAATGGCAACAAGAAATGAATGAACTTGTTTCCATATGTTGTTGAATTCAGCATTGTATAAGACAAATGACCTTTGTTTGAATCTAGAAACATTCTTTTAAGATTTTATTTTCTACATGATATCATTTTCAGCGATTTCTTACATGTATACTCTCTATTACGTGTCATTCTATTGTTTGAAGCTCATTAACATATTCAGCTATCCAACCTTGGATTTCATTATTATTTGTTTTGCAATAAACTTTGCAGTAATAGCAACATACAGATGACAAAATATATCTTCTTGAACACATTTTTCAATTTATTTACGACGAAAGCTGTGATAATATTTTGTACACCATCCCATCGCATTGTAGAATGGAAGGTTTGAATGTTCTCATCATAAATTCCTTAATTTTTTCGCACTTTCTTCGTTCATGCATAAGGCGATTACAACATAATATGATAATCTTTATGATTCATTTATCACTCGTATTCTGCTTCACGTTACAAGGTATGACTAGACTTTCCAATTTCGTTAAATTTGTTCAATTTGTTTTTGCGGTTCCATGAATTTCGGCTTTCGTTTAGAAATCTACAAGTTTTATCCTCCGTCCACTTGCTTCACACAGCATTATAGTGCTCCTCATGCATTTATAAATGGTAGTATACTGCTGTCACTTGTTCCTGCAGGGGAGGATATTTAACCACTGCCAAATCCACAATCATAGCAGAAAACGTGCCTGGGACTCAGATGAAAGCTACACTTACCCAACAATATTTAGCATAAAATTTTGAAACAAAATCCATTGCTTGAGAAAAAATGCCTGAGCTCACGATGTCCTAGCATCAAGAACTAAGACACTAACAAGTCGGATTCTACTTGTGACTAAATCATTATGGAGCGTATAAGCCCCAACATTACCATACTAGCACGAAACAAGGCGAAAGCGAAATAAGCTTCCTCTTTGCTTCTTAAGGAAAAGTGGCTCTTACTAGCCACTTGCCAGGTACAGACCCGAGCGGGTAAGATATACCTAGTCTTCTTCTTCGGCTTCCTCCAACCACTTCACAAATGGCTCCAACCCTTTCACGAACGTTTGCCTGCCAACACACATCATGTTTGTGAACAAGTTAACTTAGCGTGTTGCCTTCTAGTAGCACCAACAACTATCCACGCACCAAGCATTACTTGTCAGCCAAACCGCTCATCAGTACAAGACGTCAAAGACTACCCACCTGCCCTTCGGATTGGTCCCTTTCTTGAACCACTTCAAAATTGTGTCCTCAGCCAAAACATCCTGTTCATAGAGAGCTCGAATAATGTCAGGAAATAGCTTCATCAACTTGGCGTCCTCGTAACAGTGAATCTGGATCTTGTACATGAGGTCCGTCTCCAACTTCGCGGTTGTGCAGAACGCACCCAAAAGCTTGCCCCATTGCTTCACCTGCGCCATCCAATCGAGTCCATGTAAGAAATTCAAGGACGCTCTCGTGACAACATCAAAACCTACAAAAGGGAGCTGAACACCCAGATCTGTACTAGAAAAAACAATGCAAAGCCGCTGTTCTAAATTTGAGCCTTCAATGAATCAATAAAAACTAATACTAAACCTGGCGAAGAGCGAGATTAGAATTCTGTTGCTGGTTCTTCCCACTCCACTGCACTGCGTCCATTGTCGCGTCCCAAATTGTGCGCACTACGTCTACATCCGGCAACGTCGCTTCTTTCCGCCTCTGCTTCACCATCTCAATCACATCAGCCACGTTCACATCCTCCGCAATCTGATCCGTTACAGTGGTCAGCAGCTCCTTCAGCTTAACATCGAACACCTTCTTCGTGTTGTATTCTACTAGCACACTCAGTCCTTCCTTGCTGCACCCACCAAACCAACCCAAAGCTCATCCATCACTACTTTCTCTCGACAGCCGCTACCCACACGTCAATCACAAAAGGTTCACAGTAAGCCACACTTCCTTAGATCACATCTCACTCTGCCAGACAGCCTCACAGCGTACTACAACGACGCACAACATCTATCCATATCCAATCAATTTTTGTGGACAACTCAAGACAACCGCCGTGCATGCGTACAAATTCACAACACAATGTGCATCCAAAACCTATCCACGACTCAGTGCAGTGGCCGTACTCGAAATGCTCAGCGAACCCTTCGATAGACCGCTTCTGCATCGGAAACAGGTCCAGCAGCCGGTCGTCCATCTTCGCACGCTTCAAAAGACTCACCAGATCATCCAAAGTGTTCTCCACTAAGTAGACCTTGAACACATCAGTCACGAAGTACAGGACAATACCCTTTGCGACCAAAGTATCACTCATCAACGCAGAGAAGATTGTTTCAGGGGGCAGCCCGGATAGCTTCTGAGAGAAGGTCAAAGCCGTGAAAATTGCCAACTTTTTGCGATCCTCGGGGCCATAAAGCTCCTGTGAAAAGGAACATAAGTGTGAAACACACAGTTATCTTTGGCCATACAACATGACACCAGATTCTTATGAACATGGTCTTCTACAAATCAGCCTTTGCAAAGAATGCATAAGTAACGCAGTATGTACCAAGACATTGTCCTCAATTGAAATACTAACAATTACCGCTTGAAGAATTAAAGAGACCCATAGTGTAGTCTGAAACTCTGAATAAGCTGACTTTTATACGACTCTTAAGAATAGGAAAAATTACCAAGGACTGCAGCAGTCTCTTCATCACATTCTCAAGAGCCTTGATCATGAAAGGCCGACGCCTGATAATCTTTTGAAGGAACAGCACAACCGGGAGAATGCTCTCACGAGTGTCATTGCACGTCAGAACAGAGTACATGTGGCGTTCTCCTTCTTCCGGTTTGGTGGTTCCCGGCTGATTGCGTCCTCCAGTGAAGACAACCTGATGCAAGATCTCATAATCATCGATACAAACAGGGAAAAGCATCGGGAAAATCCTCTCAACATACCGATTAGGGCTCGAACCTAAGACCTGGTAGTGACGATGAAACCAAGAAATCAATCCTGGGGTGTCGAATAATAGAGACACCCACCTCAAAGAAGGTCTCTCCATATCTTGAGAAATCGAGCTCTGATGCGTCCACATCCTTGGCGATAAGTTCCTGCAATAATCAGTGATTCTACAAATTTGTGAGTGAACATTAATATCATCGTACCACAAGGAATGAACCCTCAGTTCCTATCATGAAAAGAAATGCGATCGCATGAAAAACTAAAAAAAAACTTAGAACGTACCAAGTCTCCCTTGTGTTCGTTGTAGATTTGGACCACAGCATCTGCAAATGTTCCAGTGTCCAACGGAACCGCTATGTTCCGCTTGCGGGTTTTGATCCGCGTGCCACTGAAGTAAACAAGAGCAACAATTTCAGATACATGAATAGCCTTAAGACAGTGGTAGTAACAGTTTCCAGTAATTCAAAAATAAACATCTGTAGCAAATCGTGGTTACTAGTCCTCGACAACTCCAACTTACTACCAGAAAAGTTGTGCGAAACTTTAAGTAGACTCAAATATAGACTTCAGCACGTACCCAAGGGTCGGTTTCTCCTTCGAGCTGCAATACAATAATCCACAACCAAAAATCAGAAAGAAATGTACATGTAAAGAGTTTAAATACATCTCAGGTGTTCGAAACAACTAGCGACATACAAAAGGTGATTCAGAGGTGACTAATAACACAACAGAATGGATTAAGCTCATGACATTGAAGCTCCAGAAAAAGTCCATAAAGTAGCAGATAAGCCGTGCATTCCCACAACCACTCTTACCATACTGCAAATTGATCTGACTTAAGTCTAGATTACCCTAGGAGCACGAACGTCTGCCAGTCGGTAATCGACGACAGACATGCGGGTTGACAATAGACACCACAGCTAAGCCAAACCTAGATTTGTGGCAATTGTGGGTATACATCCAGAGAGAATTCCAACTTAAACAGAAAAATCACACAATTCAAACGGATCAGAAAAAAGAAGACCCTATGCGGGATCCGGGCCACTTCAAATCAAACTCGAATATCGACCAAAAGCCTACACTCCAGTCCGCTTCTAAACAAATCTTTTGTAACGGTACTCATCATCACTCAAATCTGAAAAAAAAAAAAAACAAAACAAAACAAAACAAAACAAAACAAAACGTAACGAAACTAAAAAGGGACATACGCAATCACTTACACAAACCTAACCAATCAACAAAAAAATTACGTCCTAATCAACCCGAGCGACGCCCGAAACCCAACTCCACTCAACAAGACCAGATCCACGAACCAAACTCACCAATACCCACAAACCAATCAATACAAGACAAAAAAAATGGATACAAGAAGGAAAGATCCTAACCAACCCGAAGCGAGCATTCAACCCTCGAGCATGCAAAAACCCAATAGCAAGCAAGACAGCAGGCGAACGAAACGAAATCACACGAGGTTCCAGCTCACAAACCTCATAAACTAAGGCGGGCGTACACGAGGGTGATGAAAAGGGGAGAGGCGCTGGAGGAGGGAGCCTGCGCTGGGAAGAGAATGCGATGCGCGTTCGCTGATGAGGCGGCAGCAGCAGCAACAGTAGGGCGAGGAGGCGCAGACGAAGGCGCAGCAGCAGCGAGGGGAAGAAGAAGAAAACCTAGGGGGGAGCCCAGCTTGAAGAAGAAGAAAACGGAGGCGTCGCGAGCGAGAAGGGGGACTGGAGGCGCGACACGGCCTGATTATTGTGCAAGCGCACCGCGAGTGCGGGGGGAGGGAGGGAGTGGCGCGGCGAACCCCGCGGTGAATGGGGCGGGTAACTGCGCGGCCTCGCCAGCGCACGATGGTGGAAAGGGACAGGGATGAGGAGTTTGGCTCTCATTTGTGTGGGTGGAAGACTTGTTCTCCTCCATCTTGCTCACAACTCGTTTCTATTTTTGTACACTTTCAATAAGATATTTTTCCTGATCAAGTGAGAATTAGATGAGTGTACATTCTTAAAACTACATCTCTCTCTCTCTCTCTCTATACATATATATATTTGTTTGTTCGTTTGTTTGTGAATAAATGTGAATACAAGAATTTTGATTGCTAGTGATTTGTAGAGAAAAGAGATAGTTGTAATTTAAGTAATTTTTACTTTTTTCTTTTTTATTACTCTTGAAACTTATGTTTTTAAAGTGAAAGTAACTATTTTTTTGTCAGCTTGCATTTTGAAACTCAACTCTTGATAATTTCATGTTTGTATGATTGGTGTGGAGTTTAACTAGCTGCTGCTCTTTTGGTTTTTGAATGTTTCGTCTTTCACAATTTGTCTTTTAACTTTTTCTGCAATCTTGAGGTACAAAATTTGGAAGTTCTTATGTTGTTTAAAAATTTGATAAGGAAATCAAATGTTACAAACGTAATTAGAGCAAGGTTGTTTTTAATCTTTTAAATATAGACGTCAACTCTTTAAAAATAAAAATGAACATCTCCACCTTTGAAGTTTGAGTAATTCAATTTGAGGCATGCCCTATTAACGATTTTTTGACGATTAAATTATGTATAATATGTGTAGGTTTTGAAGGATCTCAAATATTCTAGGTTAAAAAATATTGATTTTGGCACATTTGAAATACAATTAAGTGAAGCACATTTTTATATTTTATATTTTTTATTTGTTTGTTATTAAGTTTTATTCTTCTTTAAGTTGGTCCAGATTTTGTTTTTATTGCAATGATGAGTATGAATGTAAAGATATAAGGACAATAGAGCTTATAACATTCTTTGTTTTATTTCAAAAAAAAAACAATTCTAAAACATGCCTTCTAATATTAATAAAAACAACAAAGTTGCATTAGAAAAGTAAAATTTGATGTAATGTAGCAATTTCGTATAGATAGATTTCATGCACATTAAATAAAAAATAATGTTTTATAAGCCACTTTTGGTAACATTTCAAACTTGCAAATTATGTTACAATATTATGACATAAAATCAAGAAAATAAAATACATTAGACTTTTATACTGAGATATTTGTTTTATGGGCCTGTAAAGTTTAAAGTAGAAATTTCTTAATCAAATTAAGATCCATTTTAAATCAAACTACGAAATACTAAATACATCACATATCTTCATGCACGCAATTAGTTTTCTATACTACTGTTGAAATGCGAGAAAAATAAAAATAAAAAACAAACAAACAAAAAGAGTAATTTTCACCATAACATCACGTCCTTTTCAACATAAATTTTGTTGTGCAGAATCACTGAGTCGGCCGACACAGCTTCGCCATCCTGGTTCCGGTGCCATGTCCAAGTAGCAGTTGTGCGGTTCTTGATGTCCAACAATCCAAAGCCGAAGCTGGATTCACGGAAAGCTGAGTAATGAGGTTGTGGCTCCGAGAATCTTACACAGCACAAACAGAGTCACAACTCATCAGATGAGAATTGCCGACCTGCTTAATCTGAACTGCAACTGCACCATACTAAGAACCATCAGTGTGGAATGGAACTAACAGTGCTATAATAGTCTGAGAAAGGGCCACATTCGAAGAATAAAGACTCACCCTATAGCTAGGCCTTCAATATTGCCACCATCACCAACTGTAATGTAAGTTGGAGATGCCGGGTTTACTTCGGGAATGCAGGCACCGTTAGTTATGTTGTATTTGATGTTGGACACCGGGAACTGCATTAAAAACCCAGAATGAGAATAATTAGACTTAAGAGCTTTTCCAGAGAAAAATCAGCTTAGGAATCTGCAGCTGTCAATGGAACCCAGCTTCAGTTGTGAGTCATGAAGTTGATCTGAACTGAAGTATACTTAGCTCAGTCTCTTCTGGGTACGTGAAGGAAATCGGCAATAGACCACACCATGCAGAGTAGGAACTCACAGTTCGTTCGTAGGCGTGAACATGGCCAGCAAATACAATGTCCACTTTGGCAGCTACAATGAATGGCTCGAATATCACGCGCATGGTCTCGGCTTCGATGTAGTGGTGTGTGTTGGAATTGTACCACGGCGAGTGCACCAAAACAATGAGCCATGGGGTCACTTTCCTGTCCACTTTCTTCAGCTCTGCTACCAACCAGGAATATTGTGGTGTGTACTTTCCTGCGTCAAGGCAACTCACCTCATTACATTGGAGAGATCATCAAATTGCTTCTTACATGCACGTTGAAAAAGCAAGTCAAATGGCTGAAAAGTTGCATCTTGAGGGTGGAGATAAATACCGTAAGCAGAGTAGGATGAGAGGACGATGATATGGACTGGTCCACGCTTGATGGCATACCATTGGGGTGAGGAGCTGCTGGATGCGTCGTGAGGTGTAGGGAATCGATGATTGAAGGGTTTGAATGGAGTAATTTCTCCCTGAACAACAACAACCACACGAATGTGAGCTTCACTGCTCCGTGAATGAGATAATCCGTCAAGCTGCCAAACGTGGAACTCACTACACATGTTGTAGTTGATGTTATGATTGGTGTTGTGACTAAGAGGACAGTGCATGGTAATACTTACGATGTGAGGGAGAAAATCAATCTCGTGGTTCCCTGTTGTCCATATCCATGGCTGATAGGCCGCACTGCGTTCAACGAATCGGCTCCATGTGTCAAAACGGACTTGATAGTGAAATGGGTAAGTGTCCTGGTAAGCTAGGTCGCCGACGAAAAGAACTGTCTGGCCGTAACTCTTCAAGTAATGCTCCACTGTGGTAGCTGAATCAAACGTCTGACCCAAGTCCCCTGAATAAATAGATGATGGCCAAATGAGTTTGTGGAGAGGAGCCGAATGAGATCTTCACAGAGTTAACATGCATTGTTCTTATGTGAAACTGAAGAGGGAAATTCGAACTCACCTATAACTCCAAAAGCGTAGGGTGTGTCTGGTCCAGGAGCAGGAGGAGTTGTGAAAAAAAACTCACGGGCACCTTCCTCCTCTTCCCCAACTTTGTAGAAATACTTGGTGTTGAACTGCAGCACAGCAGAGCCGCAAATAACCAAGTTTAAATGGACAAGCGGAAGCATAATCACCGGAAGAGCTCGCATGATGAAATCCCGTCGTTCTTAAGTGAGAAATCAGCCCTAGTAGTTCTTTAGATTTTCAAGCGACCAATACTGGCTCAGAAGATTCACTGTAATGCTTTTGGCTAGCTTTTCATAGTGAAGGAAATAGCAGGAAAAGTCAATACCTCCAAGTCGGAAATAACCACATGGTGAATGAAACCAGATGTATAGTTGTGAAACGTGTACTGAGTGGTGTATCCCGTGACCACCGAAGGGTATTTCCCTCGGACGGTGCCATAACGGACCTTCGGCATGGCCAATTTGGATGTGACGAAAGACACAATGACGGCTTTGCCATCGTAATCTCCTTGCGTCAGATGAACCTGTCAAATTTATCTCACCATGCCTTCAAATTTCATTTTAATGTACTATACCGTTGTAATGTTGTAGGACCAGACTGTCTAAACAAATCTTTCACTCCCCGAAAGTAAACACCAGGCAAAGAGTTATCATCAACGCATTCTTCACATCTGAAATGTTCTAAATAATCAAGTAGCTTTGCTAGCATCACCACTGAAGTAAAGGAATGGTTGTATGGTCGTATGATTGTATGTCCAGGCCCTTCACTAGCAATTTGTCTCAATGGATTATTAGGTTATATGCTGCTGTTATCTACTTACTTCGCCTCCAAGCTACAGAATATTTCCACAGCATATACGATCGGAAGAACGTCAGAGGCGATGCATCTCAGTAGCATAGCCCCTGTGACACCTTGATCCCCATTTTCTCTGAATAGGCAGGTTTTAGTATTTTAGCTTAATTCTGGAGAAATGTTCAGAGCCTACAATGAATCCCTACTGTACATTTTAAGTTCGTTCCAGCGGTCTTAGCTCTCGGACAATGTTCTAGTTACTGTGGGCAATGTAACAAGAACATCGATTCCTCATGTTTAGTGTTCCTCGACTATTTCTAACATAGTGGTGAAGAAAATAGAGCTGTTCGCATCACACCATCCCGACCCTAAACCACAAAATTGTCCATTGCTAAATTTTGATGCATTAAATGATTAAAATATGTCACGAGACGCCACTGGACAAATAAAGATCCTGCAAAACATCATGTGCGGAGAAAATTTCTGCACGAATTAACCCTCCAATCCGTTGTTGAGAAGAATCTAATCAAGCATGAGGGTTATTTCGAGTTGCCCAATTCTGAATAACCGGTACTAACGCACTCCCCTTTCTCTGACGTACAGAACGGTTCACCCTGATACCCCAAAAAACCGACCATTCGCTGAAAGATAACGGGGCTGAAACTGTGCAATCACGGTATACCTGCTGTGGTGGATTCTCGCCCACCGGCTTAGCGAAGTATGAAGAATTGTACGGCATGTCTATGCCTCGTTGACTTAATCGCCTCGCATACCGGCTGGTGCAACCCGCAGATTCTCCCGAAACTGATCCCACCACCGCCAGTGTCACCACCATCACCACAACCATCGCCATCCAAATCCTAAACATGTGATGCATCATCTTCCTTCTTCTTCTCCTGTACAAACTTTTCCTCTCCATGCAGGATAACAGTACAGAGCGCACAGCATCGACTAACAACGACGAACCATCAAAAACCACTCTTGAGAGCTGAAGAATTAGGGTTTATGTGGAATTCGACGTAACACCGAATCCGAGTGAGAGAGGTTAGAGGAGCTCCAAATGTGCGCACAAGTTGTGAAGCTCCGACTGGTGCTTCCTTCACGGTTCCTTCTTGCTAAAATTGCTAACTTTGAGCCACCGCAAGGTTTCCATCTCGCAGCTTTTTTCTCAGTTAATTGGAAGGAATCCAAGTTGCGTTTTTCATGCCTGTTGACTGAGTTGACATTTAAGGAATTTAGGATTGCGTTCAAAATTGTAGTGTAGAGAGAGAATTTTTGTGATTAGCTAGTAGGGGATTAGAACAAATGTGGAATGAAAAGGTTTTTTAGTTCTAAAAAGTGATTTTACAGAATATTTGTAGTTGTGGGATAGACTGTAGTTGTTAGGGCTGTAGTGCTTTGTAGAACAGTGTCCGCGAAACCACCCAACTCAATCCACTGGCTTCTCCATCGTGGGCCGTCGGATCGAAGCTGCCGCTCAGATTCAATCTCAACCTCTGATTCAATTTTTGGGAACGAAGGGAGGGAGCGTATGGGAACCAGCGGGGCGGGCAAGTTAGAGGACGGGCAGGCTGGAGAGCGGGCAGGTTGGAAACGAATTACAACCCATTTCTCATTGGGCCCACACTGATCCACGTTCACATGGGTGCTGAAGTTTGTCAATCCCTATTTTCAACCATCACTCTTGATTCAATTTATTTTTTTATTTTTTTATTTTTTTTTTCATACACAAAAACATTCAATATACATGGTAATATTTTTTCCAAGAAGAATTTTTACAACTCAAAAATATTACTCATTAATTTTTTCTCAGACACAGCTATTTTACAAACAAAGACTCATCATTTATTACTTTCTTTGTGCAAGAAATAAATTATTGATTGGCTACATTTTCGTTTATCTCGTTTTGTGATAAATTTTTTATTTACAAATAATATATCAGAAATATTGTAAAAAATTATCATGTATAAATAAAAAAATATTATTTTTTATTTAATTAATTATCTTTCTAAAATATCATTTTGGTTAAGGTTTATTTTATTTTTAATTATTTTGCAAAGCATAGAACATTTTCTACAAGCATTGTGTATCTAAGTAGTTTTATAATTAAAACAAATGCAATAACCATAATAATGTGACAACAAAAACCACTTCTAAAATGAGTCTTTATTATATATTATGGTAAATATCTTATATAAAATATCATCAAATTAAATCAAATCCTTGTATGAAGCACTAAATTTTGCATCCACATTCTTAAAAAAAAATCTAAAATTTTAAAGAATAACTCCACATCTTGATTAACATTGCATCTTTTTTTAACCAATACAACACTATTATCTTCTTTTAAAATTATGTATTGACAATTTTTGCACTCAATTTTTGTGACTAATAAAAAAGCATGTTTAGATTACTTCATTTAAGACATATTTCTTTGCATAGCTTATGTAGTTTCACTTATATATATTTATTTAAAAAACTTTTTGTCTTTATTATAAAACTTTGAGGCTGCTAAGTCTTAGCACTATAAGATTCTTTCTACTATATCCTTATTTATTATTCAAATTTTTTCAGCTTCCAAATCTAAGTTTAGTACTTCTAACTTGTAACACTACCAACCTCTCTTGGTATAGGAATTTATTAGATCTTGATAATACATCCTAAAAGTATTAAGATTGATTTTGTTTTTTTTATTGAACACATCAAATTTTTCTATAATTAAGGCTTCTATCTTATTTTGTGCTCTTAAATTAGTCATTTCAAACAATCTACAAACTTAAATATTATACTTAAGAATTTAAACTCTATTATCTTTTCCATTGTTTGGACCATCATTTGATCCATTATTTAGACCAACATCTGGACCATCACTTGGCTCATCACTTAGACTATTATTACTAGTATCTTTTTTTTGGTTTAAAAAAACCACTTTCTTTATATATTAATAATAAATCTAGTAAATATTAATGATCTATATTATAGCCTAGATATGTTTACATTGATGTATTGTAACATAATAATATGGTAATAGAAAAAAATATGGATTCTATTATAAAAGAACCTAAATAACAATATATATATATAATAAAAAAAATTGAATTATCTTCTTTCTATCTTGAATTCTTATCCTTGCATAAGTTAAACCATCATCCATAATCTTTGTTTCTATTTGTGTGGAAATAATATTTAATTGCATCAATATAATAGGATATGTAGACATATCTTATACAAAGAAGTTTTATTCATAAATAACATCTATTATCATCACCTTGATATAAAGACAAGTTTCATATAAATCTCCCTTTGAATTTTTTGCTAATTTTATTGTCCATCCATATTTATTATCAATAAGCCATTTTTTTCTTTTTATATAATCTTTTGATATCAAATTCATTTCATAACCATGTTCAATCAATGCTACAATTGATTCTTTTAATTCTCCTAATTTTATCAAAGTTTTTGTAGTAGAATTTCATAAATTATTTTAAAAATAATGATCAGAAGCATGAATTATTTTTTTAATATTTATTTAATTATAAATATAATTTATAAAATATCTCCAAAAAAAACTGCATTTCAATCTCTGCATTTGCATTACTTCCCATTATTCTTATTTCTTATGAATTTAATATCATAGTATCTTTTACAGATCGTTGTTTATTTTTATTTTTATTTTTATTGTACCAGTAATAACTTCATAAAATTCAAACTTTTCAATTTCTAGAATTTCACCAAATACAAATTCAAATTTTCTATTTAAAATTTGTTCTTTTAATATCTTTTTCAAATTAATATTTAATTATAATTTATAAATATGAGATTTTTATTTTTATATATATATATATATATATATAGAAATATTCTCTATTATCTCTTCATATATAGAATTTTTTTATTATCATGCTTTGTCTTGCTTTATAGTCTTTTTTAATGGCTTTTAATTATTTTCATCTTTCCTTCATTTTTCTTCTATTATTTCCTTATGATGACTCCTTGAATATGTATGAACTTTAAAAATATTCTTTACAAATACCTTCATTCCATGTATACCAAAGTATGTTTTTATTTTTTTTTCAATTTTTTTAAAGTATATTATACTATCTTTGAAAATAAACAACTCTTTTGTGTAGCACCTCTATTAAATTTCACACTTCCTTCTTAAATAAACTATGAAATTATATCATATGTATCTATATACTATACCTTCTATTAGTCATAATTTTTGTCTTATTTTTACTATTAATGATTGATCTTTCTTTTCAAGTTTAATAAAACTTTAATTTCACGTATGATTTCATGAAATGACTACTTTTTTTCTTTTCTTTTATGTAGGTATTAAAGGTTGAATCATAGATGAAAGATGGATAGTAGGCATTTTTATCTTAGATGCTTATAGTAGTCTTTGAATTTCTACCATATATTTTCTTCTTTTTTTTACAAGAATCCTATTGTCTCTTATATTTCTTTCCAATTTATTGTCAATCCTTCATGTTCTTCTTTATCTTCAAGTAAAATTTCTAACTTCTCTTACAACCCTATATCAATTATTTAAAACAATCTACACTTTATTTAGATCCAATAATTGTCTTTTTTTCTTTGATAAACAAGAATATTTTCTTTAAGACTTTTTTAATAATTCTTTTGCTTAAAGATCTTTTTTAGGCCTTTTAATTCATTCAAAAATTAACTTCTTTGTAATTTGGTTATTAACTTCTAAAATGTATTCATCTTTCAATTCTTGAGAAAATATAAACCTCCAAATGTCTTATAATGGACTTGATGTGATTTCTTATTTTTGGAGAAAAAGCTAATTCAAATAATTGAATCATCTTTTCAAAAACATGCTTCAATTTCATTTTTTAAATATAACACCTTAAATACTTTGTAATATATTTTCTTTAAATTGATCAATTTTTTCTACAATTTCTTACAAAGCTTTATTTGTCATATTCACTTTGAAATCTTCAACTTACTACAAAAATTAAGCAAAGGCTTCAAACGTCCTTGAAAAGTTAGAATCAAAATATATACCTTTTTTTCCATTCGTATCTATATTTATAGCTCTACTTGCAACTCTATGTGAAGCTCCAATTGAAGTACTACCTATAGCTCTTCTTTCAATTCTCTTGCATTTTTTCTCTATAATTCAAATAAAAAAAGGAAGAAAAAAAAATTATCTTATGTTTTTTATATCAAATATATCAAATATGTTGTTTCATGTAAAAAATAACATGAAAATATATTGGGCATTTGACTATAGAAAGATTATAATTTATCTTAAAGTTTAAATTACAACTTAAAATAATAAGTAAAGTATTTAAAAACATCTTTTGGCATCTTTGAACAACCCAAGTAAGCTTAAAATTAACTTAAATACATTCTATAAAACTTAAAAAATCCCATATAAATATTATTCTATTCTAATTAATTTTAAAATTATTCATAAATAATCTTTAATATACTTTAATTAAATTCCAATAAAATTCTGATTGAATCCTAAATAAACTCTAATCAAATATTAAAAAAAATCTAATCAAATTCTAATCAAATCCTAATAAAATCCTATCTAAATCCTAATAAAATCCTATTTAAATCCTAATTAAATTTTTAATCCTAAATCCTAAATTCCTATAAAAAAGTCTAAGTCCTAAAGTATAAACAAATTCTAATGAAATTCTAAATATTAAATCAGTATCAAATCTTAATTAAATTTTAATCAAATTCTAAAAAAATCCTAATCAAATTTTAAATTCTAAATTTTAATCAAATCTTTTTAAAAAAAATTAAAATCATAAATCCTAAACAATCTTTAATCAAATCTTAATTTCTAACGAAATCTTAATCAAATCCTAAAATATTTTTAATAAAACTCTAAACTTTAAATAAATTCTAATAAAATATTAATTTTTTAAAAAAAATTAATCAATTCCTAGAAAAATCTTAATCAAATTCTTATTAGATTATAAAGCAAAATAAAATTCTTAAAAAATAATAATTTAATCATTGATTTCAACTTAAAATTTTCAAATTTTTAAATCTATTAATAAAAAATAAGTACAACAATTTAAAAAAGATCAAACATACCAAATTAAAGATAATACTTATAATCTATTAAGTATTTACCAAATTTTAATTATATTTATTCTTAATTTTTTCTATCTATTTTTTATCCAATTTTTATAACTTATTTTTTCTTAATAT